TCGAAAGACTTGGGTGTATTTTTTGAAGGAGAAATCCCAAGCCTTTGATGCCTTTACAACATTTAAGGCTGTGGTGGAGAATGAGAAAGGCTTGAAAATCAAAGCCTTAAAGTCTGATAGAGGTGGAGAATTCACATCAAGTGAATTCACCAAATTCTGTGAAGAACATGGGATTAGGCGATTCTTTACCGCTCCTTACTCTCCGCAATAAAACGGAGTTGCTGAAAGGAAGAATAGAACCATTCTCAATATGGTTCGTAGCATGCTAAAGAGCAAGAATATGCCAAAGGAGTTATGGGCTGAAGCAGTTGGTTGTGCAGTATACCTACTAAATCGATGTCCCACGAAGAGTCTAGAAGACAAGACTCCACAAGAAGCATGGAATGGGGCAAAGCCCACAGTGAATCACCTGCAAGTTTTTGGGAACATAGCATATGCCCATGTACCAAGCCAAAAGCGGTCCAAACATGATGATCGAAATGAGAAATATGCCTTTGTTGGATATGACAAGCATTCAAAAGCCTACAAACTCTACAATCCTATCACGAAGAAGGTGGTCATAAGCAGAGAAGTGGAGTTTCACGAAGAAGGGACGTGGGATTGGAACGTTGAAAGCAGTGAGAGTTATAATTTTCTACCAGTTATCCTTGACTATGAAGATGAAGTTAACGAGGCGGATGGAACAATTGAGCAATCTCAAAGGTCACTTTTACCCATTTCAAATGAAGGAACACAAAAAACACGAAGTCTACAAGAGATATATGAAGAAACAAAGGAAATGGAAGCATTAGCACTTTATTGTTTCCATGCTAAATGTAAACCTCTAGACTTTAAAGAGGCTGTACGAAAGAAGAAGTGGAGGCCAACAAGCACCTCACTAGACGTGGAGCAAAGCTCTCGAAGGAGGATGAAGGAGAAGACTACGCATGATCAAGGATGATGCAAGTAGTCACCAATCAAATTCAAAGGGGGGTGTTAGTAAATAAACTTGATTGGTGTAAGTAATATTGGGCTACCCAAGGTTACTAAGTTGGACCATAAGTATTAATTAGTTACAAGGCCTAGCCCATTAAAAAGAGAATTCTAGAAAAAGAAGATATTAGAAAATAATAGGAATATTCTAGAATAATATCTAGAATGTGTAGAAATGTGTATGAAAATATCTAGAAGTTGTATAATAATTTATAAGAAATATCTTGGAGAAAAATCTAGATATTTGAATAAAATATCTAGATATTTAGGTGTTATAGAAAAATCTTGAAAACATGTAGAACCTTCCATGCACTCCCATTAATAGGAGCTAACCCCCTAATGTAAGTGTGTGTAGAGAGTTGTGAGAAACCTTAAGCTAAAAGCTTAACACACTCTACCTTGTTTCCTTTTACTACAAAGTAGTAAAGCTCCCTTTCTCCCAAAAAAATTTCCTTCTCTTCCATTTTCATTTCCTAAACCTATCACCTAAAAGATCTCTTCCTTATAACCCAAAGGGTTCTTTTGCTAAAAAACTGGTATCAGAGCTGGTGTTGATCCAGCTTTGAAATAAGATGGCAAATGGAATTACTGCTGAAAGTCAGGAGGTATATTACATTGAGAAAGAAGACTTTGTATGCCTCTTTGAATGCTGTGATCTGCCATCTCTGGTCTGAAAGGAATTTGAGAAAGCATACCAGTTCTGAAATGACTGCATATGCAAGGTTTGAGCTCTTGAAAAAAGAGGTTGTATGAAACATTAGTCACTTGTGTAAAAATGTAAAGGGTAGCGATAGAAGGTTTCTGGAAAAGATAGGGTTGAGAACTTAGTGAGACATTGTGCAAATGATGTAATTATCTTGTGTAGTTGCTAATAGATTGACCTCAGCTTTGCCCAATCTTCTAATTAATATAATGAATCTCTTAGAATTATTTCCGGGCCTGAAACTATTCTGGGTTAGTAGATTGGAGAATGTAGTAGTTTATGAAATTGCTAATTATTGAAAGAATTGTAATGGGAGAGACATATATTGGTCGTCTCCTCTGAATTGGTTATCATTCAATACTAGTTGATTATAGTGTCATTATATTTATACAAAGTTGAATGTTTCATTCAAAAAAAAAGGAGTCTTTAATTACGAAATCCTCAATGGCAAAAGAGCCAAAGAGAGTTGCTCAAATTATGTCATTCGAGGGTAGATGTTAGATCTCCAAGTTCTTCATATAAATTTAGAGATCTCTCTGAGTGAGAACTCCCAAAAAAATACTACCAGCCTTTTCTAAATATTGGTTAGGACATCGGAAGAACAATCTAATACTTAGCCACTAATTTATGCTTCAAAATTGATACTAACAGAATCTAAAACACACAAGAAGTTCACTGACCGAAATTCTAAATCCCTCATAAACTTCTATTCAGCAAAGAAAAATGTTTATAAGAGATTTCTCACCCAAACTTGGGTCAATCATATACACTTAGCAATTTCAACAACTATGCTCTCTAAAACTTAAGGCTCCAAACTCTAGTTTTTATCTCTCCCATTATAAAAACAAATCTACAAATATTTATAAGCACATGATTGACAACTACAATCATCTAGGCCAATAAGATTACAAGTAAAGTAGTAACATTTCAAAATTTTAAAATAACTACCGACCGTCCAAGTGAAATTACTTTGGTAACTAATGAGAAGCTACATTTTAACTTGAATCTATTCTCTTTGGCTTCATGTTCTTAACCCTTCCTAACTCATGGCTTGAACCAAACAACCAAACAAGTGCATGCATGCACCAATAACTCATAGGAAAGTCATAAGATAATTTTATCCTCGTAATAGTTGGCTTCTTGAACTCTAAGAGATAAATAAATTAGGACGATATTTGTGGACAAGAAAACTATTTAAGGAAGACTTAACGTTTCCTTTTTTGTTGCATTATCAACTTCTACAATCAAAGAGATATAATAAAAAAATGTAAGACTATATTGTATGTATGATAATTGTTGGTGACTTGGTGCATTACTACAATCAATTCCTAAAAATATTTTTTAAAAAGATGTGTTGAGGAAATGGAAGGAGTTAATTACATAAATTCAAGCTACCCTTTTTTCCCCTTAAAAAGTTTATTTTTTCGGTTCCAAAATGATTGTTTAGTTTGAAAATTTTATTTAACATTAAAATTCAAAATTCAAAATGGACAATCATTTTGGGTCGGAAGGAGTAACTATTAAATTTTACTCTCTTTTTTTTCTCAATTCCTTGTACGCATACATACCTTGAAATTTCCTAGTTGTTATTAGGGTTTCAAAAGTGACATTAACCCCAAAAAAAATATTTTCACAATTGAAAGGTTGTATTGTGGTAGAAATATCACAATGAATAATTTATGAGTAGGTTAAGTAGGGTTCAGTTGATTGTATTGACAAAAACATTCTTTTTTGCCAGATCGGCTATCAAAATAGTCATCTAATGGTCATTCAATGGAATATGATAAACTAAATGAGCTTCCACTCTCTTGAGGGGTTTTTTGTACTTAGATAAAAAATCATTTTCATACCTTCGTATAAAATAGGAGGCATAGAATATTTTCTACTGTAATAGATAAGAACCTGTAATCTTTTCTGTATTGTTTTGTTGGATTTTAAAACAAAACTGTCATGGGATTACTAGGATAATCTTTCTAAGAGGGTTCTTAGACTAGTTTGCAATAGAACCGTCATGGGATTTTTCAAACTATATTTGTAAGATTGTTCTTTCCTTTGGTTATATCTTAAGCATTTCACGTTGTATCATTTATTTTTTATTAATAAAATCAGAGGAACACCCACCAGGCACCATTCTGGATTCTTTTTCCCTAAAAAAAATCTGCGATTAGTTCTCAACTCCAAAAATTATGATAATTTCATTTTCATAAATGTTTGTTGTTTTATTACAGAGGCTCCCTCAATAACCCTAACTAGAAAAATAATTTTAATTTAAACTATACATTCTTTGCATGCTCGGCAAGTTGTCAAATTTGAGTTTCCTATATATATAACGGGAGATATAATACAACACATATGTCAATTTTGGTAATCTAATAACAGTAGAGAGGTTATGTAGTCAAATTTGAGCATAGAGAACAATGCCTCCAACGATTATGGTAATCTAATTATAATATGACATGAATTTGTTAACGTAAAGTAAAACACATAGTTGTATTACAGGAGTGTATAATATGACACGTATGTTGATTTTGGTAATCTGATAATGTAGCAAGATGATATAGGGAGGAGAATTTGAGTTTGATAGTAGTAGAAATATTATGTAGACAAAATTGAATCTACAATGTGTGCATAGTGATTTCATTAGTTCAATAATGTAAAAGGTTGTGGTAAGTTTCCTATTTTTTGAATTAATTTCAATAAGTAGTAAGTCCAATTTACGTATTCACTAGAATATATATACACTGTTCAGTTTGAATACAAATGTGGAGTTTGGTTATCTTGCATTTTTAAGCAACTAGTCTTGGATTCATAGTATAGGAGCAAGGATGTGAACTATCAAAAAATGATGATGAATATATAAGCTTATAGCCAGGTATTTAAATTGAGTAAATCGTAATTTGATTTGACTATATCTTTTGTTTGTGAAATAGATTTAATATGGATGGGATGAACTAGTTTCAACGCATTTAATTTACAGGTTTAATAGATTTAATTTAATATGATGCGTGATCCATTTGTTAATAAGAGTTTTGTTTTAAAATAATTTTATTCTTTCTTTTCATCACTAAAGAGGCACAAAGCCGCAGACTAATTAATATTTTTTTTCTAAACCTATCTTGTTTTATAGTTTATTTTATTTTATTGGCTTATTTTTTCGAATTGTTTTACCTTCAAAACATCACTAATATAATATCGTAGAGTTTACGATTAATTATAAAAAAGAAAAGTATGGAACAAAATGTAGAATTCAACTCAAATAATATTTACACTCTTTAAAGAAAAAGACGAAAAAGTCAATCCACTATTATATTACAAGAATACGATTATGATTATGGTAGGAGGTATTTATTAAGACCGTTCATAAATGTCATTATCTTTGTCATTAAATTTCTTACTCAAATGACCATGACCTTAGTAGGAAAAATTTAACCAATCAAAACACAGTCACACACTGAGCTTTCTATAAATTCGTCAGTTCTCCGGTGAATCACAAACCATCCCTTTCACACATATTTCTCCAACAACAATTCCCCCTCCCCCACCCCCAAACTTAACCCATTTAGACATGGCAAAAAGGACCAGCCGAGGCCGACAAAAGATTGAAATGGTGAAGGTGAAAGACGAGAGTAACCTCCAAGTCACCTTCTCCAAGCGCCGAACTGGCATTTTCAAAAAGGCCCACGAATTGAGCGTCTTGTGCGGTGCAGAAGTTGCCCTAATCATCTTCTCTCCAGGTCAAAGGGTTTACTCCTTTGGCCATCCTTCTGTTCACACCACAATTGAGAGATTTCTCAAAGATCAGGAGAATCCATCCCTCGATGATTCATCATCTCCGGTGGTTTTAACAACGAGGAATGCTACTGAGCGTATCATTCATGCTCACAGAAACGCACGGCTTCAGCAGATGTACCAGGAAATAATGCAGCTGGAAAAGGAATTGGAAGCAGCAAAGAAATGCACAGAAGTGCTGGATAGGGCGAAGGAGGACCCAGGAAAGCAGTGGTGGAAGAGGCCTATTGAAGAGCTTGATCCAAATCAGCTTATGATATATGCAAACAACATGGAGGGACTCATGATGAAAGTTAAAAAGGAAATGCCTCCGATTTCTATTGAAGGAGGTACTGCTCCTTTTACGGATCTAATTGGAATTACTGACGTTTATGGCCATATTTCTCTTAATTCTGACAATTTCATGAATCAATTTGGTGGGAGGACTGAAGATGGACATGTTCCCGGTCGTCATTGCCCATCTGTTGCTGGCGGCAATGATGTTGAAGAGGATATTGATCTGAACCGTTCAGCATCACCATCTGGATCTGGTAGTTCGGAAAAGGATGATGATGATAAGAAATTTGTTCGTGTTCATCAATTTATTTAGGTTTATCCAAGATGATGATAGTGGTCTCATAGTCTCTGATGGATGTTTTGATTGTTGTTCTGTTGTTCTTAGTTTGCTTTTGTTTGGGTTTATTTCAGTTGTGTAATTTTGCCCTTTTCTACTGTTATTCCTTACGGGAAAGGCCTTATATATGCTGGTATATATGGTCTTTTGTTTTTCATAGGGAGTAGATTGTGATGATAGGGCAAAAGTTGAAGTCATTTTAGTTGTTTTCCTTTTGACTCGCTTTTTCTATTTAGCTTGTTGGGTTTTCTTCACCTTTGTAATGCCTTGTTTCGAAGTCCTGGCCATCAATCAAATCATAAGTTTTGCTTTTTTTTTAAACAAAGTTATAACTAAGACCAATTTTATATTAGAATTATGGAAATTGATTAGGTTTTATGGAAACTGAAGTTCGATTGACAACTGGGCACACATATAGATCACATCTCAAACACACTTACTGTTGTTCTTAACATAGAAAGATAATTCATCAACCAAATATAGGTCTCTTCATTGTTATGGATGATTGTTGCATTCAAGTACAATAATTATCAATCCAATATTATAAATCCAACCCAACTATTTCTTCATCGATATCATATTGAATCTTAATGATCTCTAAAGTAATTAATTATGACCATGGTAATCGCGAGGATGCCACCTTGGTTCCAAAAGTAAAAAATAAATATAATACAAAAGATAGTTAAAATACTCGATTTTACGAATTTTATGTTAATATTTTATTTATTATTTTTACTTCAGCCTCTAAAAGGAGACAAAATGCTCAAAGTTTAAACTACAACATCACATTGTTAAACTATCCTTAACGCGGCACTCAAAGCTAGCTATCTAATTGTATTTCGAACCACTCCAGGAAGATTTAATGTAAAGCTTGTCAAAGTTATAAAATTTGAGCTCTATCATTTTCTTCTAGGAGTTTATTAGTTAACTTGATTCACTATTTTCAATTAGATAAAACATTAAATTTTATAATTTATATTCGCAGCTATTGAAGTAAGATATAGGTTTATATTAACAGGAAAACATTACTCAATCATCAAAAAATTCATAAAAGTTTATTTGTGAATGTAGTGATGGAGCTATGAATTATTATAAGTAGGTGTGAAATTTTATACAAGTTTCTTTATAGGGGTGAAAATGAGATTTTTGTTTTGATTAATTTATGGGGAAAACTTCAAAAAATTATGATCCTTCCTTGTAATTATTTAAAGGAACGGGGTCCGATGCCTCGATTGGCCCCTCCTCCGCCACTGTGTAAATGAGCTAAGAAAATGATGCGAATATATATTTTATTTGGAAGTTTCAAAAATACTTTCACGATCTTAATCATGTAATTAAAACAAAAGAAAATTACACTTAAAAAAGCTACAATTCATTATGGGGATTCATAACAAAATATGCAATTTATTTATAATTATCATAAATTCATGTTGATATATGTATAAAGAAATGTACTTCAATTAATTTAGAACATTAAGCAAATTTCATTTCAATAAATCTCTAGCATTTTGAATCCCGAAAGTGGAGATTTTTTCAAACTTCAGATAGCGTTTGGCTATCAAATATCAGGATAATGAACTTGCCAGTTTATAGAGGTTTGAGGATCCACTAGATGGATTCAACTCTGCTTTAGACATGATGTAAATGAAATTTAATTACTTCTTTGATATTTTTTCTTGGAATTCATTCTTTATACTCTCTTTTGGAATAAAATTAAAGTTACTTAATAGGTTCATGAACCAATTTCATCATAACAGATATCGAATGGAATCTGAATTTTTAAAATCGGATATTCCCTTTGTTCCAGACCACCAGACCACAATCCATAAATCTTTTCATTTCACATTCTAAAATTCAGCTGAAAAGTTATTTTACTCAACTTTAACCACCACTACTCACCACCACCAGAGTGCGACCAGCTACCATAGGACAACCATTAGCTGCATGACTAGGCGGTCTGATTTGGCAAATTTTTGGCTAGTATTGTCTAGCAACGAAGTTGGATATGACAGATTTATCAGTGAAAAGTTTATTTTAGTTTAAAATAAAATATACAACAGTCAACTTTCTTTCTAAACATGTTTTTACTCATTTTCAAATCTAAAACAAAAAAGCAAATAGAAGGACTATTATAATCGCTAGTTTGGCTCGCCTAACTCGAGTTGGTTTTTCTTGACCTATTATCATATGGCTCTTGTAACAAAAAATGTTTTTCCTGTATCGAATATGTCCCACTACAAATGTTAGAAGAATTTAGCTGGAAGAAGAATTTACATGTTAGTTCATTTACTAAATAGACGTATTGCTTATAGCGACATATAAGTCGTTTTCGATCTTATTTTAAAATTCAATCAGTAACCATTATTACAAAAATGTAATCTTCCATTTGATTTTTGTTTCTTTATTTTCTTGGTGTGCAGTCAAATTCAGCCTACTGCGTAATATGACGTGTATGTAGTAATTATCAAAAATTCATAAAGTAGAAAGATTATGCAGTGAAATTTGTGCCTATTATGTAATAAGATGCGTATCTCATGATTTTAGTAATCCAATATTAATGTAGAAAGATTATGGAAAAAAATTTTGTGTTATATTTGAATTAATTTCCAATATTATTAGTAAGTCCAATTACACTGTTCAGTAGAGCGTATATAATTACTGACTTTGAATACAAATCTTCAAATTAAAAATACAACAGTTTTAAGGAGACTTTTCCTTATTCATAGTAGCAAGACAGGGACAATTACAATATGATAAGAACATTTAATTAATTGTTCGTATAGGTTGAGTGGGCATTGCTTGTCACTATATTACGTAAAAGTACCATTCCATGTAAATAAACAAGTTTACTTTTAATTCAATTATCAAAAGTATCTTTCAATTAATACTAATTATTTTACAATCAAATTGAGTAAATCATAATTTTATTCACCAACAATTTTTGCATTATTAGGCAAATTTGATACGGACGTGCCAGAACAAGTTTAGATTCACTTTTTTCACCAATGTAGGTATATTACACAATAAAGGTCTATTTCTTATAAGAAATTTGTTTAAAATGTTTCTAAAAACAATGTTACATACATATTTACTGCTTATTTTTACCGTTTATCTTGAAATTTTACTAAGTTAAGTATATATAGTTTATACTTTTGACATAAAAGTTTCAACAATTGTGAATGACACCACACAATGTATCATTCCGGCTCACACTCATGGACACCTTCATGAGTTGAACCAAGAGTTAATAAAACTCGAAAAGCAATTGGAAGAGGAAAAGAAACTTGCTGAAGTGTTGGAGAAAGCAGAGAAGGAGGAGTCAAGAAAGGATCAGTGGTGGAGGAATCCCATTGAAGACCTTGACATGAAGCAGCTTACGACATTTGCTATGATGTTGGAAGGACTCAAGAAAGATATTCATAAGGAAATAAACTCACTCTCTATGGATCTTAATAATGTTAATAGTGATACTTCCAGTAATGATGCCTTGAATGTCAACCCATTTGGTGGTAATTAATGTGAATTGGTTCATGAGATTGATTTGAATCCTTTGACACCACTGTTCTATTAAACTTTATTGCTTTTGTTTGCATGCTTCTCTTGTATCTTTGCCCCTCTTTATTGTAGCGGAAACCCGATATATGTAGGTGTATGGGGTAATTTTCTGTTGAGGACTACATTTGTGATAAGGCAAAAGTTTTCTTCATGTTTTGGTGTTTTTCTTTGGTTTCTTCAGCAGTTTAATTAGCTTGTTGGTTTATTTTTGTAATGCTTTTTATCTTTTTCTTTGGACCATCAATAAAATTTTCTCACGAAAAAAAGGGAGAGATTTTGTTGAGGTTTGGGGATCAATTGACGGAATCAAGGTGACAAGCATTGGTATCGGTATCTTAGAAGGTGATATTCTTTTTTTCTCTGAAATATACCTCTTTAACAATAAAAAAAGAAATTTATTGTTTTGCTCGTATAATTGATAGTTTTTGCTGACGGATCGCCTAATTTCGATTGACGAATGGATTCACATAGCTCACTATATATTCAAACAAATCTCTATCATTCTTAACATAAAAATCAATTTATCAACCAAATATATGTTTGCTTTTAAAGGAAATAAAAGTTCATATGGCTCATTGTGTTATTTTATAATCACATTGATAACAAACAATCTCTAAATTGACTAACATTATCAGCATGGTATAAAGTTCTCTAATCTCCCATAGCCTTGTTGAAAATAATATTCCATTAGATTGTGATTGCTTGTTTGATAGGTAGACAGTCATATTTGTGCCTATACATGTAACATGATACATATTTTTTAAATTACCACTCTGATAACTTCACAAAATGCAAACAAAAATCCCAACCAGAAGATTGAAGATTGCGTAGAATATCAAATTCAACATCCTAAGTGAAAAGTTAGAGGAAAATGCGATTCCTTTCTCAAACGAAATGTAATGGAAATTACAATACCATAACTATCAACAAAAAATTCAAAATACATCCTTCAAGTTATGGACTCTTGTTCTTCTTATAGTTCTGCTGCCTATCAAGCCCATAGAATTGAAGATATTGTATCCAATCTGCATGAGACGTGATTTTTGGCATTGGATTCTTGTATACGTCTCGGTTAAGCTGCACAAAACTTGTTGACCCAGTAAAACAATGAAATATATTCTTAGGACCAATATATCTCCCTCTCAGTTCACCCCCTGTAGCAGGGTCAAGGGAAGCAGCATGACAAATGCTATCCCTTAAGTACGTTGTTGTAGCAGATATCCTTTTTACATTTGGGTTTTGGAAGAGGTCTACATACTTCTTTTTTGCACTTGGTAGAATGTGGGCAGCTCCACTGCCAACAACATAGTGACCATGCCTAACGAGCTTTACTGCCCAGACGTCAGCTTTCAATGTGGCTGCATCATAACCAGCCACAATGAAGTTGCATTTGCACCCATTGACATTCTGATGCTAATAGGCAGCAGCTTCTTCAGGATTACTCATATTATGAGCATGAACTGCCACTTGAAGACCTTTTAATATGATACAAATAATAATTAAGATAAACAGATTATGTCGAAAGTTTATGTAGTCAAAATTTGAGCCTATTATATTATATAACATAACATATGTGTCAATTTAACTAATCCAATATTGATGTTGCAAGACTATGGTCATTTTCAATTTTATGATTAATTAATTCAAATGTTAATAAGTCCAATCATACTTTTCACTAGAATGTGTATAATTACTTATAAGTGAATAGAGTTTTATGAGTAAAAGTGAATTCTTTCATAATATACATTAATTGAGTTTCACAAGCTTATATAGACATGATACAACAGGGATTACAAAACTAACACTGTCTATTCGAACAAACTAAATATAATAAGAATGAATTTAAACTAGTTATATGATACTTACAAGAACTGATATTCCTTATGGCGGAGAGAACAAGAGTCGAAACTTGTCTCAATGTTTGTAAAAGAAATGAGTGCCAAGAGGTCTAGTGAGGATATCATTGACCTGATCATCACTGGAAATAAAATAGACATAAATGTCCAACAGTACACTTTTTCTCGCTCAAAATGATAGTCCAGTTCAATATTCTTTGTGCGGGTATGAAAAAAGGGACTATCCGTCAAATAAATGGTAACAATGTTATCACACCATATAGTTCAAGGTAGAACAGAGAAAGCCAATATCTAAAAGTAAGGAGTGAAAGTCATGCGATCTCAATATTAGCATTACCAACTGTTTTAAACTCGTTTTAATAAAAGAACATGCAATAGTGGGTTGTTTATCAGCTGTACAAGGGAATGAATTTTTGCCCAAACAGACCACATGGATATTGATTGAATGAAAATAATAAGAAGAACCACCCCAATCCCTATCAGAGAAGCAATGTAGATATCAGGCTGATTTTTTTATTATAATATTAATCCATCATGGATTGTATGAAGATATCCAAGAGACATTTGACGACTATCCAACGTTCATCAATTGGAAAGTGCATAAATTGGTATAGCTTATTGACAAAAAAAAAGAGGAATATATGGTCTAGTTAATGTCAAATACTGCAAGCACCCACAATATGCTAATAAAAATCTCGTTATGAAATGGAGCAACAGATGATTTCGAGAGAGAAGGATTATTACCCATAGGAGTTAATCATTATATGAAATGTTGCATACTACTTGAGTATAATAAATTATGAATATATCAACATGTTAATACAGGAGCTATGCAAATTTCAATAAACTTTCTCACCAAGTTGATTAAATAACACTACATTATTTTCTCTTCTCCCTCGGCAAAACCCTAGTCGCAGCCTTCACTTTTTCGGCCAAAATGGCCGGTACCAAGCCTAGGGATGCCCCAAGTGGGCCTCCCTGATCCTTTCCTAGCTTCTTTCAAAAGTCACCTGATGATAATCCTCTTCAAAAGTCATTTATAAAGCCGGTCACTTTCATAAATGGCTCGGCGGTCCTTACGAGGATGGTGAATATGAGCGGTTGATTGCTCCACATCAATTAAGTTTGGTGGGAAAGTTTGCGTACGGTGGACCAAAAATGGAAGAAATTCACAAGGAGTTTAAAAAAATCGGTTCTCATGGAGGCTACATTTGGGGTTAATGAACCCTATACATATTTTGATTCGATTTGATCGTGAAGAAGATTATCAACATTGTTTGATGCACACATTCTGGAATATAGCTGGTCTTTTAATGCGGATTCTTAAGTGGAAGCCCGACTTTAAGTTTGAAGAGGATCCACCAATCGTCCCAAGTTGTGTTTCACTTTTGGATCTCCCCAATGAGTTTATGAATTTGGAAGTAATTTTTCTCAATGGCTACGGTGATTGGGAAGCCTCTAAAGGTGGATACCCCAACAATGAATATGATTCAGCCATCGGTGGCAAGATTTTGTGTTGAGATCAATTTAACGAAGGAGTCACCGAAGTCAGTTAATGTAGGAAAAAGAAAAAGGAAGCATGAGCAAATTTTGCGTATAAGCATGTTCCAACCTATTGCTCCAAGTGTTTGAAGATTGGGCCTAAAAATGAGGAGTGCAAGAAGGGAATGATGAAGAAGAAGGCGGTGGCTGGTGAATGCCGGTTAGTGTTTACCACTTTCCCAAAAGAAATATTTATAAACCTACTTAAAATTAATCACTAGTGGTAAGCAGGGTCGTAACACGAAGATGGCAGTCAACCGCTCAAAATCATATTAAAGTGCTAAAAAGAAGGAAAATAAGTTGAACAGATTGTCACTTGGGAGAGTGAGAATAGTCACTTGAGAGAGTGAAAAGGCAGAAGGGTCAATCACTTTCCTACCTTTATGATCCATTTTTGATTCAATATTCCTATAGTGTATGATTAGTTGTTTGACTAGGCACTTATATATCATTATAGTTCCCTTTAGACAGAATAAAGAGTCCTAGATTATCTAAATCACCTACTTTTGAGTCAGAGTAATTCATTAACCTAAGCCATTTAGTTCTTAAGCCCTTTATGATTGCCTATGTCGTTCACCTAACTTCCGTTGATGTCTGGAACCACAGGGTAGATTTCTCCGTTGTCATAGACTAGATTAAGCAGTTCTAAGGTTATGCTCCCCCCTTCTAGATCTTCATAACCATGCAAGCACATTTAATTAAGTGGCCAAGTTAATTAAAAGGTTAATTAAAGCACTTAACTAGGCACAACATCTCATCAAAAAAACTGAATCAAAACTTTCACATAATGATAGTAGAGATCGAAACCTTAACTGAGTTAGCTACTCATGTTTATTGAGTTAAACAAGAGAGCAACAGAGTACAAAAGATAAGACATGAATCTAGATCAAAAGGTTAGAGGAAAGAAAGGAAAGATGGTAGGAGGGACAGTTTCTGTCTGCAAACTATGGCGAGGACATTCGCCACTTGACAAAGTGACAGTCTACCTCCTTGTTTCTGCTACTACCCTGTTTCTAAACATCTAACTAACTACCTAACTACAATCTTTTTTACTAAATCAAACTACCCAATCTGTTTTTTTTTTCTACTACTATCGGCTGGCTATCTATAGAGATTTGGAGAGGCTTGGATTGGTGGAGTTCTAGCCTTCTTTGCAGCAGGGCAAAGGAGACAGCAAGTTGTAGCAGCCTTCTCTAGTTAGCTTCTTCCTTCTCCAGCCGCAATCAGCTATCTTCTACTCATCATTGCTGCTTCTCCTTAGTCTTCTTCTCCGGCGCCTTCTCACCATTTGTAGCCACAAATCTCCATTTCTTCATTCCTTCTCCCTCACAGCTCAATTTGCAGCAGTCAGTAAGCTGCAGCATCAGAAGCATCCTTCCTTCCATCATTGAGTCTCCAGCCTCCAATTTAGCATGAATCTTCTGCCCTTTTCTTACTTGTTTCCGGGGTCACTTGCTATGCCATTGCTCACCCTTCTGTAGCAGCCAATCCATCAACTCAACAGTAGCATCAGTTGGTAAGTAGCAGAGTTGAAGCTGTTGTTTATCACATATTCTCCCTCTTTCTCTACTTCCACTTGCAATAGCAACAGCTTGCCGTGCAAAGCAATTTCCTTCCTTGGGCACCAAGATTTCAGCTTGTGGCTTCTCTCTGACTGACAGCAGCAACAACAACTGCAGCAGTAATCTAGCAGCAAGGCAGCTACCCTTCTTCCTCTCAATTGAGAGTGCTGCTGCAGATTCTTCCAAGTTGTGATCATCTGCTGCCATTCTTCCTTCCTTAGCAAGGCTTTCTCCACTTGCTCCAGCTCTGATTGACCTTCAAACAGCCCGATTTCCAGTAGCTTCCATTCTGGTCCTTGCTGATGCCTTTCTGTGCAATTTGGCCATCATTTATACTGATTTTTCACATTGGCCCTCTGAGATTTCTGAATTACAAAATCACCCCAAAACTAAACTAATGCTAACTAATTGACACTACATTATAAGCAGAAATGAGTAAGAAATGTCTGCTAAAAGGGTATCTATTTTTATGTTATCAGAAACACCCAATCCCTCGCAATCACTGCCATCAAAACCCTTGCGTGCGCATCTATCGTAACCCTCAAAGTCGCGGCTGGACAAACCCTTAAAGTCGCAACCTAGGGTTTTAGCGACTGAAAAAGCTAACCCTGTTCTGCAGGTTTTGACTCTTGTTGATGAGTTGGCCACTTCTTCTAGGCTAAGTGCGAAGGAAAAGGAAGCTATTGTTGATGTACAGGATGATTTCCTGAAAACTAACGCTGATGATGATTTTCAACTGATCGTAAAACATCACCCGCCGCAGCAAAATTCATCACAACCTTCAAGTTCACCTCCCGCGGCCACTGTTAATCATTTTGCGTTGTTGGAAACTATTCAAGAGGAAGAAAATGAAACTCCAGACGCAGATGACGATGATAATGTTGAGGAAATTTTAGCTGAAAAACCCGCACAAACCGAAAGTAATACGTTGGAAGAGGAGCGCCAAGCCCTGTTACGACTTGGTGATGATGTTCCACTAAGACTTGGGAAATTTTCTGATGATGCGGAAGTGGGAACAAAGTCTGGTATCCTGGATGAAATCGATGGTGGTCATGGATGTTGGTCTGAAAGTGATGTTGGCTGCATTCCGGAAGAAGAAACGGTGCAAGGGGATGTTTCAGAATCTCGAAAGCGACATCTTAGGACCAAAGCTGAGATGGCTGAGTTGGGAAAAGGGGTGATCCTTCGGCGGTCACCTAGGCTACTGTAATGTGTTCTTTTTCCTGAATTTTTATCCATGATAAGTCATTTAATATGGAATGTTCGTGAAATTAAAAGTCAAGCGTCTCAACGGCATTTGAAGGTGTTGATTAAAATTATTAAGGTTGAGCTTGTCTTTATCATGGAACCTATGCTTTTGGAACATCAGATTAAGGTGATTAAGAGAGAGTTAGGGTTTGATCTTGCTTTCTCCTCGATCACTAGTAAGATTTGGGTTTTTTGCAAGGCTGGATTCTCCCTATGTTTGCTAGAAAATACTGAGCAATTTATTCATTTTGAGGATACTCACATCTCAGTTCCAACTAAGTTTTTGCTTTCAGCGGTGTATGCAAAATCAAAACAAAAGGGAAGGCATGCTCTATGGCAAAATATGGCTACTTTTAGCAAGGTCTATCCAACTGAACCTTGGTTGATTGGAGGGGACTTTAATGTCATTAGAACCTTGGAAGTGTTCTCAGGACATTCTGTTCAAGATCTCCAAGCGATGGCTGATTTTAATGAATGTATCCAAGAATATGCGCCATTGAAAATTCGAGCAATTGGTGAGGAATTTACTTGGGGAGGTACAAGGCATACTGGATGGGTTAGCAAGCAATTTGGATGGGGTTTTGATTTCACAAGAGTGGCACGACCTATTTCCAGGATCATCATTGGAAAATTTGAGTAGAACCACCTCTGATCATTGTCCAATGCTGTATTTGTTTAATTTTCCAATTGCAACTAAACCGAGGGTTTTTCGTTTCCAGAAGATGTGGTTGAGAAGGGCTTATTTCATGGCTTTGGTTCAAGAGGATTGGAAATCACCTATGGAGCTTTCTGGAATGCTTGGTTTCTCTTTAAAACTAAAACATTTGAAGGCTAGGTTAAAAGAATGGAATAAGGAGGTCGTTAGTGACGTTTTTGCCAATTTAAGAGCGGCTGAAACTAAAGTCTAGGAGAAGGAAGCTCTCTTTGATACTTCTGGTGATATTAATGATAGAGTGCAATTGCAAGCTGCCAAAGTGGAACTCTTACAAAAGCTAAAGGAGCATGAAGATTTCTTGTCCAAGAAAATGAAAATTAAGTAGATAAAGGAGGGTGATTCAAACATGGCTTTTATCTATGCTTCCTTGAAAGAGAGAAGATTACAGCAAGGCCTTTTTAAAATTCATGCTGTGGATGGTAGAGTGTTGGCAAACCCGGCTGAGATTGAACAAGAAGCTATAAATTTCTTTCATGCTCTCCTAAATGAAGAAGATGTTGATCCGTATTGTGAGGAAAAACAAGTTGTTTTCCTTGATTGTATCCCCCAATAACTTGGTGATGAAGAAGCTGGCACATTGTTGTGGCCAATATTACTTGAAGAGGTTAAGGAAGTAGTCTTTAGTTTGAGTGAAGTTAGTGCTCCTGGTGTAGATGGATTTGGTGGCTCCTTCTATAAAAATAGTTGGAAAATTATAGCCAATGATCTATGTATTGCTTGTAAGGAATTTATGGTTGGGGTTCCTATGCCGAGATCAATCACAAGCACATTTGTTACCCTTATCCCTAAGAAGGCATCGGTGACAAGCTTTGCGGATTATAGACCAATTTGTCTTTTTCACTTTCTTGAATAAAGTCTTTACTAAGATTCTTATGGAAAGACTAAAAGGGGTTTTACCAAGAATAATATCGGATGAACAATCGGCTCTTTTAGAGGGGCACGACATCATTGATATTGTACTTTTGGCACAAGATTTGTGCCAATTTCTAAATTGTCAACCTGAGGGGGTGGGGGGGGACTTTGTGCTAAAGTTAGATATGATGAAAGCTTTTGATCATGTCAAACGGAGCTTCTTGGAAAAGGTACTACTTAAGTTTGCCTTTCCTAGGCATTTTTTTCTTCTCATTATGAATAATTTGCAGAATGGATGGTTCTCTATTATGATAAATGGGTCTCCACGTGGTTTTTTTCTAGTCATCTAGAGGTATCAAGCAAGGTGATCCATTATCTCCTTACTTGTTTATCATAGTTTCTGAGGCTATGACAAGGAGACTTAAGTCTTTGGTTGAGGATGGGAGAGTTGTGCATTATGGTACACCAGTCGGATCCCTAAGGGTGTCTCATTTAGCATTTGCGGATGATGTGATAATTTTTTTCTAGAGGATTGAAGCAGTCCTTGCAGCATCTAAATGCTTTCTTTCTTGATTATGAAAGCGCTTCTGGGCAAAAAATCAATCGGCCAAAAATCACCTTCATGGTTTCGAAAAATTGTGGCGCAAGAAGGGTTTCCATTGTGCAAAGAGCTCTTGGGATTCAAAAAGGGTCTTTTCCTTTTACTTACCTCGGATGCAAGCTTTATCAAGGAAGGCACAAGGAGGGAGGTTAGTTCTTATAAAGCATGTATCATCTTCAATTCCAATTCATGTCTTTTCAGCTTTACCACCGCCGAAATCAGTCATTAGGGATATTGAACGAAGGTGCCAAAGGTTTCTATGAAGTGGAATGAGTGATGAAAATAAGAGGCATTGATAATCGTGGGAACAAATTTCTTTTCCTTTCTCAGAAAATGGTTTAGGGGTTCGTAGCTTCCAAGGGATTATTGATGTCCTAATAGTCAAACTTTTGTGAAAATTGAAGCTTAAGAGAGGTATTTGAAGTGAGTTTATACATTCTTTGTCCATGGCAGCGAAAAGGAAAACCTCTTGGAATCGTGTCTCCAAGATAGAGGCGCGAGGAGTGGTGCATACCAAGGTGCTCATTCGGCGAGGAAATTCCTCTTTTTGGTTTGATAGTTGGTCTTCTTTTGGAGCCCTTTGGGATGTTGAAGGGTCGCATCCCCCTTTTCCGAATCTAGGTATTTGGGAATTCTTTCAATTCAAACAAGAGCTACTCCCTATGATACACAATGTGCTTTCTAATGAGGTTTCGAATTTCCTTGCGGACCATGAGCAAAACTTCCTTGATGAGGATGATTTGTTGATTTGGTAGCACAATACAAACGGTGATCTAATAGTTAAGTCTGCTTATGAATCTCTTCATAGAAGGAACGAAGAAGAGGGTTGGGCGTGAAATGTTTGGAATTCAGTAACTACATTGAAAATCTCAATTTTCTTCTAGAAATTGCGGAATAAGAATCTTCTTTTTCCTGAAGTTTTAAGTCAAATGGAATTCACGCTTTTTTGGCAGTATGTTTGTTGTGTAAGAATGGAGGTGATGGCATTGGTTATTGCTTTTATGGATGTCAATTCGCCAAGCAAATATGGAATCATTTTTCAGTTATGCTTAATATTAACATCAATGGAGTCCTCTCAATAGCTTCCATAGTTGGCTGGTGGTGGAATGGAGGAGATTTCAAAACGGCTTTTGGGATGCTGCGTAAGTTGCTGCCTTCCTTGATTCTTTGGGAAATTTGGAAGTGTCGAAACAAGGCAATCTTTGAAGCAGTTCATCCGAATGTCACTAGGGTTATCAATGCTATGAAGGACCAGGTGCGTTGTTTGATGATACTCCATGATCTGAAACTTAGGAGTGAAAGAGAGAAAATGTTTTTCTCAAATGAGTTTCAAGTGGAGTTCCGGAAATACATGTGGACTAGGGTTTTTCGGGTTGCTTGGAACCGTCCACCCGCTAATTGCTTTGTTCTCAACTCGGATGGTTCTTCATGCTTGACTGGAGCTGGCTATGGCTTTGTTATTAGAGGGCAAGGGGGCTCTTTTTTAGTCGGTGAATGTCGTTACTTAGGAAAGGGTGATAGTTTTCTTGCTGAGATTCTTGGTGTATTGTTTGGATTGCGAAAATGTGAGCAGCTCCATCTTCAAAATGTTGAAGTCCAGACTGATAATAAGGTTTTATCTGAGGCCTTTATTGGAGGTGTGGGTTTTCCATGGAAATATCTTTCGCACATGCAGGAGATGCAGTCATTACTGCAATGACATGGTTTTAGGATCTCACACATTTTTAGAGAAGCAAATTCAGTTGCATATGGGCTAACAAAAAATTCATCCTTACGGGATTCACAAGTTTTCTCCTCTTTGCACTCGTTGCCTAGAACTGTAAAAAGATTGTTGATTTTAGGTCAAGTTTCCTTTCTTTATTTTAGAAGTCGGATTGCTTGATGTAATTGTGGTTAGCTCATACACTGCCACTATTTCTTATTTGGATTTTAATAAAATGTTGGGGAGGAACGACTCTAGGGAACTGGATGGTATAAATGTTCATTCCTTCGGTATACCCCTTGGGTGCATTATATCGTCTAGCACTGGCTGGCTCAAAAAATAGCTCTTGGGTATACCCCTTGAGTATTTTTTGAGTCTGTTGGAACCTGAACATCGTTTTCATCCCTTTTTCTTGCTTAAAAAATAATAAATTATGAATATATTTTGTCTGGTATATTAGTAATCCATGTGGCAAAAACTTGGCATGAATACCTAAGAAGTAGTGCAAGACACCCAAATCTTTAACCAGAAAGAAATACCCATAACAGCAATATCATCTACGTGCACAAGAACCAAAAGTTTAGATGTGCTGGAATTTTAAACAAATTAATAAAAGTCAGATTTAAATAACTGAAATCCGATGTTAGCAAACCGGTGAAACCAAGCACGTGGAGCCCCTTTATAAAGATTTATAGAGCTTACAAACACCAATAGCATGAACAAGATCAACGAAACCCACTGGTTGCTACATGTAGATGTGAGTATCAAGAAATCATTGAAGAGAAGTATTAGAAATATCCAATTGATGAACATACGACATGAAAATTAGCAGTAGACAAAACAGTGCGAATAGTGATACACTTAATTTCGGTACTATGATTACGTAAATGAGAGCGTGAAGTGTTTGAAATGTTTGAAATAGGAGACCGACATGTAATTCAAGATTCAGAGGAATTTGGAGTTGATGGGGATACAAATGATGATGACAGAGAGGCATGATGAGAAGGAATAGCCGGTGCTGATCCATTTGATGGAAAAATTATAAGAGATAATGATGAGTAATTAGAATAGGATCACATGGGATGATAAACTCTAAGGTTGGGGAAACTAAGAATGTAGATATAGTAAGCCATTATGATGAAAATTAGAAACTATCTCAGGAGTGTTATTTGTTGCATGAAATGGAAAAGTCTAGTAATGAAATTTGACATCATGTCCCAAGTAAATTCTATTTGTGGACACATCAAAACAATAATAAGCACTATTAGAAGGACTATTAACAAGATAAACACATGGTTTACTGCAAAATTAAACTTTTTTCTATTATATGGTCGAAGAAAAGGAAATATAGCACAACCAGAGATATGAAACTCTAGATAACTTGAATGTTTGTGATGAAGAAGAAAGAATGGAGATTGATTTTTTAGGAATAATTTTGATAAGGAGAGATGCAATGAATTGACTGAAGCAATACTTGTTTCAAAAAGCATAATTCCAATATCAAAAAGGAACATGACCGCAAGCAAGTAAAGTAAGACCACATTAACAATGTTTAGATTTTTATTTCGGCAATACCAGTTCTCTTGGGTATAAAGGACAAGAATGTGGTGAACAATACCAAAAGTAGTGAATAAAGTATGAAATTTCTAATATTCCCCCCCCCCCAATCATAATGAAAACCTTTAAGTTTAGAATTATATTGATGTTTAACAAGAGAATTCAAATGAAGAAAAGAAGAATACACATAACTTTTGTTCTTAATCAATTACAAGCATGTAAATTTGCTAATGTTTTGGACTTTTTCAAGAAATTAAGTAATAGACATGTCATTTTTCTTGAGCTCTTGTAACTCAATATGAAGCTATAGTTTGCGTGTACAAGATTTTGCACCAAATGCAGTAGTCCATGCTTGCCAAACATCATAGGAAGTGGCGAATCCAACAACATAAAGAAAGATGCCATGAAAGCAACATAAAGTCCTTTTTGTACCACGACTCCTGTGTTGGATTTGATATGTTTGATCAAACTTTGAGGGGGATGTATCGTTTTGGGAGGAGCAGAAACAAAACTATTAACAAAGCCATTCAAGTAAGGATAGTTGAGTAAGGGAATAGTGGAAAGTTTAATGGAGAAACAGTGGTGAGTAGAAATAGCAGCTAGTTGAGAAGTAAAGGAATAAAAAACTAGAGATGCACTCGTAGTGCTCATGATATTGGCGCTATACCATATAAATGAATAGAGCTTTAGGAGTAAAGGTGATTTCTTATATTACATTCAATGGAATTTCACAAGTTTATATAGACATAATATAAGTGTTTACAAAATTAATTCATCTATTGTAACAACTACACATGACTAGGATGAATTCAACCTAATTACTTTGAATTCAAATATTGAAATTGAATATCTAGCACTTCAAATGAGGAGGTCTTTTACTTCATAGTAGCAAGGACACGAACCCTACAATATAGTAAGAATATTTAATTGATAATTTCTACCGGTAGAGCAGGTGATAGTGGTCATTAGACTATACAAAAGTGTCACTCTAGGTAAATCAAAAAATTTAATTTAGTTCAATTTATTCCACTAACAAAAATAATATGCGAGCAATCTCTATTGACTTCGTTATTAACAAAAAATAGTAGTATTGCTAGTAGAAATTTTATTAGAAATTAACATTGTGACTTTAATTGTTTCATTAAATTAAGTAAACTGAAACTAAATTTATTGAGTTACATAGAATAATAGCCATCGTTACAGTTTACCTTTATCCTTTATAAAATATTTATAACCACCACTATTTACATATTAGTTTTTTCTAAAAAGAGGGATTATTTTCATGTTCAAATGGAATAAACCGTAATTTTATTCATCTACAATTTTTATATTTTAAAATAAATTTAATACAAACATGTTGCACCAGTTTCAATGCATTTCATTCACCAGCGTAGGCATATTACATATGAAAGGTCTATTTCACTAAAAGAATTTCGTTCAATATTATTCTAAAAAAACAAGTTTACATAATTTATACTGTTTTATGTTCAAAATTTGACAAATGTAATCATATAGAATTCCTAATATTGACATAAAAGTATAAATTAAAAAAAAAATGTAATAAACAACTCAATAATCAAACGCGTTGCCGGGGAAGGGAGGGCAGAGAGAGAGAGAGAGAGTACATTATCATATTATGAGAATAAAATTGTGATTATGACAGTATTAAGAGAGAGAGAGAGAGAGAGAGAGAGAGAGAGAGAGAGAGAGCACATTATCATATTACGAGAATATGATTGTGATTATAGCGGTAAGGCAGATCAATATTACCATTGTCGAGTCACTAAATTTCTTGCCCAAAATGACCAGGCCATGTTAGGAAAATATAACAAATTAAAATATAGAGTCACACAATGAATTTTCTATAAATTCTTCCATACGCAAAAAATCAAAACCATCCCTTTGGCAAATATTTATCCAATAGTATTTTCACTTTCCTTAGTGAATTCTAAATTTAACTGATTCCTCTTGGTCACGGAAAAGACTAGCGAAGTCGATGCACCAATGTCGGTTTCAACCGTAGTGAATGATAGCATTAAGTGTATCATTCACGCTCACAGTGAAGAACGTCTTCATGGGTTAAAACAAGAGTTAATACAGCTCAAAAAGATAGTGGAAGACCAAAAGAGACGTGCAGAAACATTGAAAAAAGGTAAATGAGGACTCAGGAAAGGATCAGTGGTGGAAGAAACCTATCGAAGAGGTTGATATGAAGCAGCTCATGATGTATGCAAATTCGCTAGAAGGACTCATGAAGAACATTCACAAGGAAATGAAATCATGTTTAATTGATCATAACAATGTTAATGAACATACTTCCGTCGATGTTGTCAAAAATGTCAATCCATTTGGTGGAAATTAAGGCAGGTAGACTGATGGGTGGCGAATCAACCAAAGAAATTTACCAACTTAATACTGTAGATAGCAGTAAGTCGGGTCGAATCCACGGGGGCGGCAGTAACTCTAAATAACCCAAACGATTCAAGAAAAAGATAGTGGAGATAGTAAAATGGAAATAGAATATTGAACTGTCACTTTGGCGAGTGAGAAATGTCACGTGACTGAGTGACCAAACAGAATAAAAAACAGGAAAGGAACCTAGGGTCGTCTTCAACTCCTCTCTATACATTTGTGTTATGGTTTTATTTCCTTCTTTTTGCCAGATGATCTAGGCTTGATCAGGCACATATATTCTCTATAATTCCTTCCAGATAGAATAAACAGTCCTAGATTATCTAAATTACCTATCTTCTAGTCAGAGTAGTTCATTAACCTAAGCCATTGAGTTCTTAAGCCTCATATGATCACCTATGCCAATGCACCTAACTCTCGTTGATGATTGAAACCAAAGGGTAGATTTCCACCTTTGTCATAGACTAGATTAAGCAGTTCTACGGTTATGCTCCCCTTCCTGATCTTCATAACCAAGCAAGCACATTTAATTAAGTGGCCAAGTTAATTAAAAGGTTAATTAAAGCACTTAACTAGGAGAAATAATCATATAGGAGTATTACCAAAACATGCTTGTATAGATAAGAGGGATTAGACCCTAGAGAGAGTTTAGCTACACTTAACTATGGATACAAATACACAAGGATGCATTTCTAAGCATTAAACATCAATACAAAACAAGGAAACAACTAAGAGAAGGGGAGAAGAACTTAGTGAATTTGCTGCTGTCACGAGGTCACTCCCTCGAGTGAGTCTTCTCGCTCTCTCCAATGGCAGGCAGAACCTGCCACCCTAGCTGCTTCTACACACTCCTTTGTGTTTTTTTATCTAACTCTCTTCCTGCTCTACTCCCTTTTTTTTCTTGTAGCTGATTGGGTATATTTATAGGACTTGGAGGAGGATACTTTTTACTATATCTCAAAAAATTGACCAACTTGGCAGGTTGTCTACTCGACAAGCAAGTAAAGCAACTTGGTCACTTGGGCAAC